TTAGTGCAAGTTATTTTTAAATTTTATTTCTTCTTAAAGGGTTTCATTTTCCCAAAACTACATTAGTCTCTTTTGGTTTTTGTTTTTATATTTTCTTTCTTCTTAAAGAGTTTTATTCTTACATAGAAAACTTCATTGTTTTCTTTTAGTTTTAGTTTTAGTATTTTGATTGCTTAAAGGGTTTCATTCTTCCATTGAAAACTTCATTATTTTGTATTTGTTTTGGTTTTTTATTTTCTTTCTTCTTAAAGGGTTTCATTCTTCCCTATAAAACTTCATTATTATTATTTTGTTTTTTATTTTCTTTCTTCTTAAAGAGTTTCAATCCACCACGTATTACGTCAGCCAGTCAAACTTGTACGCATGAACGACAGGAGCGATTCAATCGGAATGTGCACGTAAATTCTGTCCCAGTCCTCGGTCCTCCCTCCTGTGATGAGACTGCGACTTGTGGGGCTGATGCCAATTTCTTAGTACAGTAGTAAGTAATAATTATATACTACTATATAAGTTAGTTAAACCATGAACATCATTCTGTTTTCTTCATATGATTGTTTTCGGTTCACCATCATGATCGCCAACACCGACTACCCGCAGCTCCCCTTCGTTCGTACTCTCTCTATAAATAAATATAAAAGTGTTTAGATTACTATTTTAGTGATCTAAACGTTTTTATATTTTTTTTACGGAAGGAGCACTCTACACCCGGAGGCGTCCCACCTCGCCACCGCCGCCGCCGGCTCGACGACGAATCGGGCGCCCGTCGACCGTCATCCCCGTCTCGCTATCTTCTTTTTTCTCCATCAAACCGAACGTGCATGGTCCCCTTTTCCAAGTCAACCAATTAGCCAAACAAAGCATCTTTCTGACCAAACCAAGTCGTTGGCGGCAGTCCACCTCGTTCCAGTCCACAAGAAGAAAAAGAACGGAGGAGGAGGAGAGGGTCAGCTCACCACTCAGCACACGGTTTTGATCGCCTTGACTAGTATACTTAGCACTCGCGGCCCAACTAGCAAACAATACATGCTTGCCACACGGACGTCCGGCCCACTTGCCCAGTACATAGTGCTAACATTTCAGCTTCTTTTTTTTCTTTGATGGATGCACTATGGCAAAAAAAAATCCGTTTGCGAACAAAGTTTAAAAACAATGAGATGATAGAACAAAAGGGAAATTGAAGTGTATCATTCCAAGCTAGGAAAAGTAGAAAAACCGTGGTCTCGTGGCTCTCTAGCGATGTAGCTACACGTCATGTTAGGAGATTAGTCAGTTTTCAGCTAGCTCAATCCAAATTAGCATCATCATAGGATTACTGGCATGCCAAATCGTACACGACATACTAGGAACATCTAGCACATACGCATATGGGCCGAAACACATGTCAACGAAGAAAGTGTCGGGACATATGAGGGCATCAAAAACTCCGGTGCAACAACAACTTGAACTATCCAAAGGGGAACATGAGCTGTGAGATTAACTATACAGGATATCGAAGAGTACTTGAACGATATAGTGACTCATATTGGATTTACGATGTTAATGAGATGCAGATCACAAGTGGATACATATTCACTTTCGGTGGTGGCGCTTTTTCAAGAAAGTATTACGAAGACCATCTAAACAAGGACAACAAATGGAAGGAGAAATCACATCATGAACTCTTGATTGATTTTTCGGGGGTTGAAAACCCCGTACCTGGGTTGTTGCAAACATAATGCATCGGCCAAGGCTCAACATGTGCACCGTCCTAGTTGGGTCGATGTTGCCGACCTACAATGCAAGGTTGCTGCCATCGACGGTTGTGTGGCCACCTTAGCTTATCCGACCCAACGTACGTGTCTCATCACCGTCTAGATCGGTCAATCTCTTAACCTTTTTGTTCCTATCTACATATCCACAACGAGGTCTTCTACGAATGCGCCGGTAAACTACCAACATACACAACAAGTACTCAAGTTCTTTTCACTCTAAGTTTACTTACTTGCAGTGATTGCGAGCGTGTATATTGAAGAACAAAAACATATGTGTTATATCTCTTCCCACCAAGGGCACATGCGATAGTCGATCTTCCCTGACTCCCAGGCGAGGCACGACCCCCATCTTCCCTCGTCCGGCACTACCGTGAGGGGTAAGGGCCGCATCGGTCCGATTGAGGTAGGGTTAGGATTTTTTGTTGTTGTTGTTTTTGGTTTAAGGCGGGCGGAGGAGGAAGAGTGTGCGGGAACCACTCATTTTCTCATGCTCTAATAACATGTGGAAGAGAATTCCTTATAAATACATTGAGCAATTTTTAAATATACAATAAGCAATTTCCATTTAGAAGCACTAAACTCTGTCTTTTTTACAAGCAGCACGCACCTGGCCGTATACACCAGCCAGCCAGCCAGCCGGTCAACAAAACGCTGCAGAACATGGATACATGTTGGTCACGTTTTGGCACGTACTCCTACGTATGTACGTACGCACCACTTTGGCGACCTGTTCATTGAGCATCGATCCATTTTACTGTACATGGCACTGGAAAAGTATGGGATGCATGCATAAATCTTTTGTTGCACTTGCTGTCCACGCGTTCGTCGACCAATATTTTTCTCATATAAATAAAAACACACGTGAACTCTCTATCTCTGTCGGCCGACATGTCATTCTGCACATGGGTCCCACTCCCCCCTGCCTTTGCAGGGAGCAACGCACGGAGCGACGACTCATCAAACTGGTGGTAACGGAAGCCCAAGAAGATAAACTGAAGCATCACGGCCGTTGTTTTGCGTCCGGAGTCCCCAGTCTTTCTTCAAATCACAGGCTGCTACCATTCCTTCTCTGTCCGGGTTTATTAAGCGCCCTCTTATTTTGGGCTAAAATTTGACCAACAAATTTAATAACTAATATTCTAATAATGTAATGTACATGTCACAAAAATTATACCGCCGGAAAGCTCTTTCAAATAGAAATATAATAATGTACCTTTTATAGCATATACTCCCTCTGTCCCAAAATATAAGAACGTTTTTGACACTAGTATAGTGTAAAAAACGTTCTTATATTTTGAGACGGAGGGAGTATTTTATTAGTCATATGGATGGACAAAGTCTTCATCGCAAAAGAAAAAAAAGGATGGTCAAAGTCTGGTTCAAAATACTCCCTCTGGTCCTTTTTAGTCTGCGTATAAGTTTTGTTCGAAATCAAGATATCTCTACTTTGGTAAAACTTACAGAAAAAAGTATCAACATTCACGATACCAAATCAATGTTGTTAGATTCATTAGGAAATGTAGTTTCATAGTGTATATATATTTGGTATTATAGATGCTGATATTTTTTTAATATAAAGTTGGTCAAGCTTTGCAAAGTTTGATCTGACAAAAAACTAATACGTAGAGTGAAAAGGACCGAAGAGAGTACTAGGGTCCTAATAAATCCAGACGGAGTTAGTAGTAAGTATTACTAGTATTTCCCGCCTAAACATATCACAAACCCTCGAGCACCGGACACATAGTTTTCGTGGGTGTGCTGCCGCTAGGTTTCTTTCGGTGTTTATGTCTCCCACTTTGGTTGGTTGTTTTAGTGCCCGAAGGCTAGCTTAGGGGAATGTACATCTGTGTGCTGGTTGTGATATACTTCCTCCGTTTCTTTACATAAGGTGCATTTTGTTTTTTGATAACATTCCACAATGTAAGGTGTATTTTGTTCTAATTCCTCGTAACTCCGATCTTTAGAATTTTACGTGCGACATTACGTTGCTATACATGACGGTGAAAGCGGCAACACAACAAATATGAGTCTCCTGGATCCCATCCATCCGTTGCCGGAGCAGCAACAATTTTGTTACTTCTCTCATTATGGACCAAGTAGCGATGGCAACGACACTATGTTTCATCCGAAGAAGTGATGAAGAAGAGGACTGCTCAATCAACCGCGACCGTGCCCAGAACATACCCTATCAATTTTATTTTATTTGGCTATGACGACGAAAATCGGTTACGGAACATACACCAACATTTTCGTAATTTTAGTACCACATGTTTTTGGCAATGCTGGCCAAATCATGGGTTAGCAAAAGCCTTGAGCCAAAACCAAACATCTTATACCAGTCGTCTCAACGTCTGTTTGTCGCCAAGAAATGGAAAAACAAAAAAACAGGACCCGAATGGTAAAAGCTAATGTTCGAAGGGGGCAGCATGAAAAAACCCCGTTGGAAAGGGAAACCGCCAACAGGATGATGCTCCATGGCTCTCTGCTACTACTCTCTTCTCTCCTCCTCCCTCCAATTTTCCAGTTTCTTTTAGCACATCGGAGAGGTGGATAGGATAGGGTAGGAGGATCTTACCAACACAACACAAAGCACACCACCTGCGTCAGTTAATCAGTTTGTTTGTTGCTTCTGCTTGATTGTTTCGGACAAGACGACACCACCTCTGCCTCAGCTGCCTGCTGCAACCCGAAGCTCCTCCGCCTCCTCCATAGCCAGCGCCCATCATCCAAAGGTCCCGAACTCATCCTTCTCCATCTCAATTAATTCCCGGAGATTGAAACCTCCATCAGCAGCAGCCTCATAACTAGTTCTAGATACACCCATTTTTATCCATTTTGATGATAAATATTTCCGGACGGAGGGAGTATGTACTTAGGAAGTGTATAACTAGTATTTATGACATTCCTTCTTGCTTATTTTATTCCTGGCGATTTGGCGCTCTTCTGCTCTTGGATGGGTGACAGTAAAAGATTGATTGCAGCGAATTCATCTTCTTTATGCGTTTCGTTTCCCGCGTGCCCCTCAAGGAAGGCATCAAATCCCCCCTCCTCCTCACCCTCCTTGGCCGGTTACAGTTACAAAACATTCCCCTCAGAACCCTCGCCGTCGCCGCCTCTTCCCTTCCTTCCTTTCTTCCTCCGGCCACGAGAAATATCGGAAACCGCTGAGATTTGATTTGATTTGATTCATCGGAAGTAGTAACCTAAAATATCTCTGCGTTTTTGGTTTGGTTTCTCCATCAGGGGGGCATGCCGGGAGGAGGAGGAGGAGTGGCGGCGGTCGTGGTGGTGGACGGCAAGGACGGGTACGTGGCGCCGGCGAGGGCCGCGCCGAGGAGCTTCCCGCCGAAGCTCCTCAGGCCGGTGCTCCTCTCCGCGGTGCTCGCCACGGGCTTCCTCGCCGCGGCCCTGCTCATGTTCTTCGGCGGGGCCTCCTCCTACTACCGCCTCCCGCGGCTCGCCGTGCCGGACGCCCTGCTCCTGGCGCCGGCCTGCGACCAGAAAGACGGGGACCAGCAGGGCGGGGCGGCGGAGCGGTGGTGGGCGCGGCCGCCGGCGAGCAGCGCGTGGCACAACATGAGCGAGGAGGAGCTGCTCTGGGCGGCGTCGTTCGAGCCCCGCGCGCAGCGCCGGCGGCCGCCCGGACGGCGGGGGACGACGCCCAAGGTGGCCTTCTTGTTCCTCACCCGCGGCCCGCTGCCGCTGGCGCCGCTGTGGGAGCGGTTCTTCAACGGCACCACCGGCACCGGCGCCGCGAAAGGAGGGAGGGAGCTCTTCTCCGTGTACGTGCACACCACGCCGGGCTACCGCCTCGACTTCCCGCCGTCGTCGCCGTTCCACCGCCGGCAGGTGCCCAGCAAGGTACGCCCGCCGCTCCACGGCACCTTCCTTTCCGGCAGTTGCCATCAAATTTCGCTTCTTTCTCCGTCGGTCGTTTGGAATGTTCTTCCGGCCACCGTCCGATCAGGATCGGACGGGCCGGATCACGAGATGCGCCTGCGACGTGGCCTCTCTGGTTTCAACGACACCTAGACAAATGACAAGTGCCGCCGAGTGTGACACGATCACGAGAGGAGAAAGAGACGCTGAAAGTGACGACCATCATGCCACGGCATGGCATCATGGAGGGGTACTACTCAAAAGTCTTCTCTTATCAATCAAAGATGCCATGGCCAAAAATCTTCGAATCTTCTTCCTTCATGAATTTTTTTCACTTGACTTTCTACAACGTGTGTTCTGAATTTTGATACTGGTACTAGTATAGCTAGAATTCTTACCACCACTATGATCTGCACTGTATCTCAATTGACTTTTCCACAATATATGCATTCCCATTTCTTATTTCATAAGTGCTGAAATGTAATTCATTTTTGGAACATTGTTGCAGCCGACACGGTGGGGCAACGTGAATGTCGTGGACGCGGAGCGGCGGCTGCTGGCGAACGCGCTCCTCGACTTCAACAACGAGCGCTTCGTGCTCGTCTCCGAGTCCTGCATCCCGCTCTACCCGCTCCCGGTGGTGCATGCCTACTTGACCAGCTCTCGGCACAGCTTCGTCGGCGCCTTTGACGACCCGAGCCCGCACGGCCGAGGCCGGTACCGTGCCGGGCTGGCCCCGGACGTGACTCTCTCCCAGTGGCGCAAGGGCGCGCAATGGTTCGAGATGGACCGGCGCCTCGCCGTGTTTGTGATCGCCGACGAGCGTTACTACCCGCGGTTCCGGACTGAGTGCCGAGCGCCATGCTATGTGGACGAGCACTACCTTCCGACCGTGCTCTCCATCAAGGCTCCGGAGCGCATCGCCAACCGGAGCATCACCTTGGTCGATTGGTCCCGCGGCGGCGCGCACCCGGCCACCTTCGGCGCTGCCGACGTGACTGAGGACTTCCTGGGGATGCTGGTGGGGAAGAAGGGGAATGCTGAGAGGTGCATGTACAACGGGCAGCTGGTCGAGGTGTGCTTCCTCTTTGCGAGGAAGTTCGCCCCCGCCGCTTTGCCGCAGCTGCTCAGCCTTTCCTCCAAGATCTTCGGGTACTAGCTAGGCCTTTTACGAAATTGATTTTGGTCTGCTTATGTATAGCTCATACTCACTGGAGCGGAATAGAGGAATACAATTTTTTTATGTGTCACGAGAACAAAAGGATGAATGATCGAGTGGGTAGTTGTTTCTTATAACCATTCTTATTTCTGATACCTTAAGGCTCCTTTAATTCAAAGGAATTTTATAGGATTTCTAGAGGATTGAGGTTCTTAGGATTTTTTCCTATGTTGGCCATTTGAATCATAAGACTGGATCCCATAGGAATTTTAGAATTTTTTGTATTACATTTTATACGAAATCTAATATCCACTCCAACCTTTTTTTACAATTTCTTTGTTTTTCCTGTGGCATCAAACACTCATTGCTAATCTTATAAGATTCAAGTGGGCATGGCACTTCAACCCTATACTTTCCTATTCCTATGTTTTCAAAATTCTACGAATCAAAGAGGCCCTTATATTTTTTCTGAATCAATACCTTAGAGCACATATCTATACCTACTATTAAAGAGAATAAGTATTCTTGGTCCGTCATATTTTTTTGCTGAAAGTCCCTATACTTTTTAAGAATTAACCCACAATCTAGAAAAACGGATCGTTCCTGAAGTTTGTCTGTCCACGGGTGGGTACACGTTCATCTTCCTCACTTGGGTCGAACTGGGCCGCCCTTGCTATTTCTTCTGCCAACGGCAAGCAGCGAAAAATATGTATACTTGTGAAAGATTCGAACTCCAGACCTCAACTTTAACCCGATAGTACCAACCAACTCACATAGCCTATGATTTGTGCCAAAAACAAGGTCGTTTCCAAATTTACTAGTCTCACCTCGCTATTTGTGCCAAATTTCACCCATTTTTATATCTCCATGAATTGCCTAGAAAATAAGCAAGCCACCCCAAAAATAAAGTCTGTAAATTGTGTCTTTGCCCGCACTTTGAAGAGAGACCAAATAAACGAAAAAAGGGGGCATTATGCTAATTTCAAGGGGGGCATGACAACATCGGCGCCAAGCAAATGAAGGAGCGCTCCGGGTTTATTAGGCCCCCTTTTATTTTGCATCAAATTTTGCCCATGAATTTGAACTTATAAAATGTGAATTATAGTATTTCATAATAATTATACCATGGAAAACCTCTTTGAAATACAAATCCATCAATCTAGTTTTTATAGCATATCCTTTATATATTTTTAGTCAAATAGATGGTTAAAGTTGGACCTAAAATATAAGGGGTCTAATAAACCCGAACAGGGGGTACTAATTTGAATGACGTGACTGTGGGTTGCATACCTGCTAATCTACAGAGACTCGTGGGATGGTGCTTATTTATTATGGCCTTGAAACAAGGGAACTAAACCTGGCAATAAAGGTAATTGTAGGCAACAAAGGCATTAAATCTCCTCTAAGCTAGGAGAATAAAGTTGTAGTTATCCTTATGGCCTTACAACCTTCTTTCCGGTTTATAGGGCTTATCTCAAAATTTTAGTTTTTCCATTTTTAACACTCTATTTGGTTGATTCCAATCATAAGTTCAGCTTCCAAGGTGCATTAAATCATTCCATGCAAGTATTAAGGGAAGATTGATCAATGCATGTATTTTATGCATGCATGCATTGCAATTAATGCATTGGTAAACATATTTTTTTAAGAAAAATAAGAGCATTAATTGGGTGCTTTTGCAAACTACAAAAAGTATTCCACCACTCACCATCTAACTTGGTTGATAAGATTTTTGAATTGAGCTCTATAAACCGGAAAGGAGGAAGTATATATATATATATATATATATAAGTTGTAGTTTAGGACACGCGCATGTTTTTTTATTTTGAGCAAGATGAGCATGGTATTTAAAAAAGGACACTAACGGGTGCTATTTTAGTGGACCGTCCATGTGCGCGTGCAACGCTCTGTTATGGTCCTCTGCCCGGCCTATGTGTTGGAATCTTGCTGACGCCAATCCTATTCGGGGACCTCCTATTTAAGCGTCGCGAAAGCGAACTGGCCCTACACGCAACACCTAGTGGGCCGGTCCATGAACGCTCATCGCACCGAAGTATTGTAGTGCGAAAACCCATAGAAAACTGGTTGTCATGGGGAATCAAATTAAGGTCACAACATTCCCGAAAGAGGTTGGCTACCACCGTACCATCTTTGCTAGTGACTTGAGTGTAACGCGCATGCTTTAATAACATTTGTAGCCACGCTATTTGAATCAAACTCGCATATTCAAAAAAAATTATTAAAATTCAAAAAGTTCACTAACTTAAGCAAAAGCATAATAATTAAACAAATTATAGCGAGTTTCAAAAAAGTTCATCGGTTTTGAAAAGTTATAGTGAGTTTGAAAAAAGGTTCTCAATTTTGAAAAAAAGTTCATCGATTTTGAAAAAAATCACAAATTTCAAAAAAAGTTCATCAATTTGAAAAAAAGTTCACAACATTGTAAAAATTTCAAGATTTTGAAAAGGTTCATTGGGTTTGTAAATATTTCATAAATTTTGAAAGAAATTTCATTGATTTTGAAAAATATTCGTCGGTTTTGAAAAACGTTTCTGATTTTTTTAAAATTATGATTTAAAAAAATATTCGTTGGTTTTGAAAAAAGTTTATGAATTTTTGGAAAAAGTTCATAAATTTATGATTTTAAAAAATCATTAGTTTTCAAAAATATCGGCCAATAGAATATTTTCATCGATTTGAAAAAAGTTCACAAAAAGCTAGGAAAGTTCATGAATTTTCAAAAAAGTTCATCCAATTTGAAAAAAAATCTGAAATTTAGAAATTTTTTAACGAACTTGAATAAATATTTATTGGTTTTGAAAAAAGTTTACAAATTTGAAAACTAATCCTCTTATTAAAGAAAACCCAAATAAAAAATATCCATAAAATGAACCGCGAACCCAAAAAAAAACCATTTGAACCGAAGAAAGAAATAGAAGAGAAAAAAAATCAAATTTACATAAGAGGGTAAGATAGCCTAGTGGTTGCTGTAGTACACTTAGAAAACAGAGCTTGTGAGTTCAAACCTGGCGATTGCACCATTTTTGATTTTAAGAGAGGTTAAAGAGAGGGTATATGGGCGGCCGAGGGGCAGAGCGACGGGTGTGCGCCGGTTTACAGTTTGTACTGTAATTGGCGTGTGATGCACGGAATAGGAATTGCCCCTATTCGTGCATTCTCAAGCAATTAGGACTTCGGTCTGCATTTCAGAACTTTTACTTATGTAATAGGATTGAGAATGCACAAATTGATCTATTAAGTTGGTACCTTTTGCTTGACCTTGCAAGTTTGATTGATCACCAAATGGTGCGCGACTAGCTTATGCCAGGTGGCGGGCCTTGTCTTTCATGGAGTGTGATTGTTGAGTTATGTGTTCTACAAACCATATTCAAATTGCTTGTGATCATTAATATTTAGAATTACTTTAACTGTTTAGAGAATACCTGATTTGTGGAATCATACATGCATTTTTGTGGAAAGGAATTATTATTTTCTTGAATATACTTATGTCTTCCATGATTAAGGAAGTTGTGTTGATTATCTTTGCAATAGAATATACTTTGTATCTATATTGGTAATCGAAAGAAACTAGATATATATTAGGTTACAATACTAATAATGACACAAGAGATTAGACGAAATTTGGCATGGTCATGACGTATTGTTCACATGTGTGTGTTTAAGGGACTGCAGTTAGAATGCTTTCAAAGATGAACTATATCATGGTTGTAGTTTAATCTGGACATTATCTGAAAACTAGTTCTTATATGTATAAGAGATGAACTCTTTGAAAAAACCAGTCTAAGAAGATGGTCCTTTAAAAATGACTATCCCCATAAAAACTTTGTATTATTTCATTTTAATGAATAGATAACGCTGTTGCTATGTTAACCCCTAAAAATACCAGTAATCAACATCATTTGCCTCCTTAGTTCGGTGGCCTTTATCCTTTCCTTTTTTATGAAAAAACATCTAATCTATTCATATTCAATCACGACAGTACAACGAACACCAAAAATAATGAAAGTTACGTCCAGATCCGTAAACCACCTAGCGACGACTACAAGCACTGAAGTGAGCCAAAGGCACGCTGCCGTCATCACCCCTCCCTCACCGGAGCCTGGCAAAACTTGTTGTAGTAGACAATCAGGAAGTCGTCGTGCTAAGGCCCCACAGAATCAACGCACAAGAACAACAACCGCCGCCGATGAAGAGTAGTGTAAATCGGAATGATCCAACCCGAAGACACACGAACGTAGAGGAACGATGAATAGATCTGAGCAAATCCACCAAAGACAGATCCGCTGAAGGCACGCCCCCACATGCCCACTGATGACACTAGACGCACCACCGGAATGGGGGCTAGACGGGGAGAATCTTATTCCATCTTCAGGGAGTTGTCGTCATCTCGCTTTCTTGAGCAGGACACAAACCCTAACAAATCTTGAAGACACATTGCTACTTGTGAGCTGCGTTGGGATTTTCTCCAAGAGGAGATGATGATGCAGTACAATAGAGATAAGTATTTCACTCAGTTAAAAACCAAGGTTATCAATCCATTAGAAGAACCACGCAAGACCTCGTGAACAACACCTACACACAAAAGAACAAATACTTGCACCCAACCTGATCAAGTGGGTTGTTAATCCCCTCGGTGGTTAATTGCAAGGATCAAGTCTAATAATAGTAGATAGATAAACAAAAACACAAAATAAAAGAACGGTAAATAATTTACAGCAATGTAATTTTGGATTTAATATATGATAAAGGTAGACCCGAGAGCCATAGTTTTCAGTAGAGACTTCTCTCTCGAACAAAAAGCATACAGTGGGTAAACAAAATTACAGTTGGGGCAATTGATAGAAAAGCGCATAGTTATGACGATATCCAAGGCAATGATCATGTATATAGGTATCACGTCCGAGACAAGTAGTCCGACTCCTGCCTGCATCTACTACTATTACGCCACACATCGACCGCTATCCAACATGTATTTAGAG